CTAAGTGCATCACAGCTTTCCAACCTATAGGTGAAATGCTTCTTCCTGAAGAAAAAGCATTCTGGTGGATTTTCATAGACTCGTAAATGCCAACTCATGGATTTGTTAGCATTTTATAGCTGGTGTAAAAGTTGTAATGAAGACACCGTCTGGTAGTGAACTCCCTGTCATTGGACATGTTCACAACAGATTTGAAAAGTCTTTTTGTTTTTTTTTCTCAAAAAGATCTGAAAAAATTCCTTTCAGAAAAATGATGGAGGCTAAGCCAGCAGTGGCTAGGGGACAGATGAGACCATCTAAGGAGTCTATGTTACAGGAGCAGCTTTTTCACAAGTAATACACACAGCTATGCATGCTCATTTGATGAGGCAAGCTGGCCTAGGAAGAAGGAAGCTGGAAAAGGAGCCTATCCCTAGCTGGAGAAGCTTAGTTTACATTATTAACCACAGAGAAATAGGACATAGGTGCCCAACTTAATGGCAGTTTGTATTTCTTTTCACAAAGCTGCATATGCCCTACTCTAATAAAGAATGTAGAATTTTAGTTTTCTGCTTCTTGTAAGGAGAATAAAGTGAAAGGAAAAAATCACCTCCCTTGCATACCCTCTGACCCAATGTTTGCCTGAGCATCTGAAAAGCATATAAAGAGCTTCTACAAAACATTGTCCTGCAGTTAATCCCCTCCTTGACCAAAATATCTATAGCTGGCAAAGATTTAGGAAAAGACTAATAAAAGGATTTGAGAAAGTGAACTCAGACTATTGTTTCTGAAACTTAGTGTTGGCCTCTTGGGAAAAGGTTGATCAATCCAAAAGAAAGATGATGAAGAAGGATGGAAAACTTACTGGTTTGGCTGCTGACAATGTACCGATACTTTCTGCAAAACCATGTTATTATTGCCCTACTGCTGCTATCTTTGAAATCTGTGAATCTCTGTCATTCAAAACGTTAATCATAACATAATACTGACATTTGGGCATACGGCTATTCTTGTTCTCTGGGCTCTTATGCCCCAACTCACCACAGCATTTTCTCTAGCATCAGGAGTGTTGTTCTGACAACACAGCTAACTTTTGTATTTCCTTGTTTGGAACTCTCTAAAAACAAAAGCAAAGGGGGAAACTAGCCATGCAATTCACGGAAGCAAAAAAAAAAAAAGAAGAAGCTATGGATCTTTTTAGTAGGACATATACCCTGCAGTTCACTCATCTGCTTCCCCTGTCTTGAGAAGGTAGAAGTAACTTCAAATTCACATCACTAGTGTTTTCCATGATGCCATTTCACATGGTCCAAACCTACTAATGTGCCTCCTTTCTGGCACACAAATCACCCACCATACCAATACCCAAGATTAAAGAAAAGGAGATCTGCCCAAGAAAGCAGCCACAGCAACACTTGCTATCTACTCTCAGTGAGGTTAATTTGGAATGAGGAATGTAAAATAGGTTCATGGAAATTTATGTAGTTCTATGGATTAAAAATGGTTTGTCCCCAGGAGTTCAAGTATTATAAGCTTGGTCCTCAGTGTAGCAATGTCAAGAGTAAAGGGGACCTTTAAGAGGTGGGGCTACTGGAAGATCATTGTGTCATTGCAGGTGCTATCTTCTGAAGGGATTAAGGTAGGTTTTTTTAATTTTTTTTTTTTTAGTTGTAGATGGACACAATATCTTTATTTTATTTATTTATTTTTATGTGGTGCTGAGGATTGAACCCAGTGCCTCACGCACATGAGGCAAACACTCTACCACAGAGCTACACACCCACCCTCCCCAAGGTAGATTTTTTTTTTTTTTTTTAAACTGGACACCACTGTGAGTTCCCACAAAAGAGATTGTTATAAAACAGGAAGACTGCCCTGGTGTCTGGCTTCCTGTCTTGGCATGTGATATCTCCTTCACACACACACTCCTACCATGATCCCATTGGCCAAGAAGTGACATAGCTTAGAAGGACCTTCACCAGAGCTGGTACCACACTGTGCAGACTTTCTGCCTGAAAAAGTGCCAGTTAAATAAATCTCTTTTCTTTACTAATACCCAGCCTCAGGTACATCATTATAGCAACAGAAGGCAGACCAACGCACAGAGTTTCAAAGTATCTCCCTACAAAACATTTTTTAATTATGAAGGGGAAAATAGTGATTTTAATGTAGAGAAGCCTGCAGACACCATCCAACCATGTGATTAATGTTATCGCCTTCAATAATGAAACAAATCAATATCTTGTGCCTTCCGATCTGAAGTACTGAGAAAAACACATGCTTCTTCGGTATTCTTGTAAAAAAATGTTCTTACCAAACTTGAGTCTAATCATGAGGAAACAGATGAGCCCAATTTGAAATATATTCTATTAAAAAAACCTGACTTATAGTTTTCAAAAATTTTCTAGGTGGTTAAAGGGGGAAGGAAGGCAGGCAGGTTGGCTGACTGAAGGAAGTGTGATAGAGTAAAAAGGACTTGGGAAACAGAACAAATAAACGTAATCCAAGAAAAATTGTTGAAAATGTGAACCAAAACCATAGATTAAAGAATAATACTGAACCAATGTTAATATCCAGATTTTAATTATTGTATATACCATTATAGAACAAAATGTCCTTGTTTTTAATGTATACACAATAAAATATTTAGAGTTGAAGGAACATCATATCTATCATTGGTTTCCAAATTTTCAGAAAATATACATACACATTTATACATGTGTGTAAATAGAGTAAAGAAAGAAAAACTGATCAAGTAATCTGAGAAGAGTATATAGGAATTCTTCCTAACAATTTTTGGCAACATCATTATAAATAAGAAGGTATTATTCAAAGAGAAAAGAAAAAAAAAAAAAAGAAGAACAAGCCAGGTAGGCCTAAACTTTTGAAGGAAGAAGCTCGAGAAGAAGGAGAAATGTAGACACCCCCATCTTCTCTGTTCCATCCATGCCCAACACTAAGAAGCACTGCAAATTCTTGAGTTTCCCTGAAGGATATTATGGGAGACACTGACAGCAAGCTCCCTTAGAGAACCATGATGCCTCCAAACCCCCAGAGCCTAGTACAGGGCCTGGCAGATGCTGACCATAGGAATGACTGGGCAGACTAGGGGCTCAATGGACTGCAAGAAGTAACTGGAAAAAAATGGAAAGAAAACATGGACAAGCCCCCATTGGTGGCACTGCATCTGCAAAGCAGGTGGAATTGTGGCCCTCCTGTGTTAAATGGCTAGGTGTAAGGACAGGTAGAAGACATCTGAAGGGAGAGTGAGATATAGCCCTACTCTCCAGTATTCATTTCACTTAGGGGAAAAGGGAATGGAGCACGTACCATTGTGTTGGCCTAAAATGGCCCAGTTCCTCTGGACTGAGGGAGAAAGGGTGTAATGTTCCAGGTACTATGTGTCCCAGAATGCAAGGTCTCTGTTGGATCATGCATAAACTATTTCATGTACTCAGATAAGAAGAAATGAAAACCAAGATGCCCAAGATAACAGTAAGAATTGAAATAGCTCCTTATTCGGTAAATCTTTCATCATGAAAACAATGTCTCATTACATTCTGTTCTTACTTCCCAAACCAACTAGTACTTAGCTTTTTCAAATTCACATTGACTCTGCACATGGGATCTGAAATTGAAATCATTTTAATTATCAAGTTCAAGACAGTCTGTTTAAGAGATGAAAAAAATATTGCATTGCTTCAAAAATGTAGCTAATTCAAGATTGTTCAAACAGATTAACTTTCCAGAGAAATTAACTTCAGAATAGAGATGAAGGGAAAAAAATACAATCTATAGGTCACTTAAGTGTAAGTTTTAGGAAATGTTCCTATAACTCACAGAAAATTGTGAACTTAAACAAATGTGCTTTTACTCACCACCAAGATACAATTTCATAATCATGAACACTGTGCCATAATATTCCAGAGAAAAATTAAAGTAAACCATGGCACATAACAAAGGGCAGGACTCCACATTTCAAACCTGATTTGCATATTAATTCAAATAGGAGCCTCTTTGCTTTAATAAGGAATACAATTTTCAAAGTCTCTTTAGCTGAGACTGCTATGCTTGTTGGTAGAGACCTGTTCACCAATTTATATAAAAAGATGCACTTAGGGCAAATCCAAAGCATAATGGGGCAGGGGGTAGAGAGGGAGGCAAAATACCCTAATCAGTAAATAATGTGCCAGGAGCCCTTAGAGGAACTGGGAATAGTTGCACAGCTTCTCCCTCTTCTTCTTTACTTGACATGACTGAGAGGTCAATTTGTTTTCCAGTATAACTCAGTTCTTCATCCAATTTAATTAATAAGGACAGATATTTAGCTCAACCCTGGAGTCAGCTTCTGCAATCAGTTTCTCCCTTATACCTCCCAGCTTCCCATTTCTCCTGACAAAGCTGCCCCAACTTGCTCATGGGAAAATGTATGCAGGTCATACTTCCCTCTAGGCTCCTCCCAGGAATGGATATTGTCTGCCCAACCTAAAAGTTATCAGGTGAACCCACAAAAGCCAAGAGTCATCCTCTACCTCTCTTGGGTTCAAGCGTCTCTCCTGTCCCAGACAGAGTCTTATCCTGGGCTATAAACCAGATAAAGTCACAAGGACTCATGGTGAATCCCAAGGTCTGATTTAAGAGTTCTAGAAGAAATCCTTCCTTCAGTGGAGCCCACAGAACCTCTGAACTATATGTAATAGGTTGATAGCATGGTATTCTTACTTCCATCATTCTCAGTCAATCCATCTTCCCAACTCCCTGCCCACTCTCATTTCTCCATGACAGATGCATGCCTGTGGCTACCCCCGGGCTGCTCTGCACTGGGATGATACTGGTTCATCAGTCAAAAATCAAGACATTGCCTATTTTCATCAGAAGAGGAAGTAGGGACACTGGACCAAAGGATAGTGTGACAGTTTTAGAAATTTGAGCCTCATACTATCATCAGCTACCAGTATGTTATCACCAATGAAAAATGCATAAGCTTAGCTTCTTGGTCCCCACCCTCTGGTTTTTCTTACCTTTGGTTCCATTGAAATGAAACTGTGGGTTCCTCTGCTCGAGAGAACTGACCTTTTAATCGTCCTGCTATGGTAGAAGTGGTAGTAGTCCTTCAGGGCCCCAATCTGCAAAGGCAAGGTGGGAGGGAAAGCACAAAAGAAAGATGTTAAAAGTTTAAAACAGTCTTCTGCTTCCCTGTTTTTCATTAAAATAAGAACACAAAACAAAAAGAGGTCTATAAATTATGCAGGTGCCCGCTGTGCTTAAATGTTACTTGAACCTTGGTGATCACTTTTCAAAAGGAGGACATGTGATATGAAATGGAGTGTCCTTGAGGCAGTGACTGTGGAACTAAAGACTATAATGGGCAGCTTAGCCTCTCCATAGCTCCTTCTTAATGTTTAATTTATATGCAGCATTTTAAGTAATTCTATATCAATCTATATCCAAATGTGGGAAAGACGGGAGGAAAAAAATCAAATAGCTATCTGGTTATAAAAACACATTGCATTTTGTTTGCTCTAAGAAATGCACAATGAAGGACCTTGTTAGATTATTTATATAGTTAATTTGAAACATGCTGTAAGCAGTTGATCATTCACAAAGATAACACTACTTAGTTTCCCCGACTTCAGTAGACCGTATAAATGCATAGCCCTTATTCATTTATTGCAAAACTAAAAGTGGAATGGCAATTTCTAAAATGAAATAAAAATCACATATCCTACCTATCAGTTCAGTTTTCTCTGTTAAACAGTCAAATCCCACTTTAACTTATTCATGAACACTTCCGTTGTCTTGTTTATGTGCCCCTTTGGTTAAGTTAAAAACAGGTCTCTTTAGGATAGTTTTGAAAATAAGTCTCAGTCCACTTTGAAAAAAAACAAATGAACAAAATCTCAAACAACCATATTCTCTCAGAAGATTATAGAAAATGTGGATCACAGAATGAATATTGAATCACATCATAAAGGAAGGAGAGTTTGCTTCAAGCTTAAGCTCAAGTCTCTAGAGCTAAATAGCATATGCTTTACTAAAGCCTGTTTCCTTTTCTATAACATTACACATGGGGCTAGTTGATTTCTAAGACCTCTGTAGTGCTCTATTCTATTCTGTGATATTGACATTGTACTTGTGTTGGGAAAACACAGTAAATACAGTAAATGTCTAATTACCCAGAACACTCGTGGCTCCACCCTAGAAAAATTACCATCATCAGGATAAATTCCAATTGATACAATACAACATTGGGCTTCTTCAGTTGACACAAAAAAGTTATTGGCCCACCTGGCCCAGTGGCGCATGCCTATAATCCCCGCGGCTCAGGAGGCTGAGACAGGAGGATCTCAAGTTTAAAGCCAGCCTCAGCAAAAGTGAGGTGCGAAGTAACTCAGTGAGACCCTGTCTCTAAATAAAATACAAAATAGGGCTGGGGATGTGGCTCAGTGGTCAAGTCCCCCTGATTAATCCCTGGTACCCCCCCACCCCCACCTCCCCAAAAAAGTCATTGGCCCTGGTTAATTCTTTGCAGATACAAGATTTATTTCTAATTCCCTTCTTTTTGTCACATTCTCAACCATCATCCCACCCAATTTTTGTACCATTTAGGAACCATCACTGGAACTTGGTGCTGTAAGTGAATGTTGTGTCACCAGTAAAATCTGAAAGAAAATCGGAATCCTCACATTTCTGACTCAAGTGGAAATAGCCTGATCTATAAGAAGGAATTCTGGACTCTGAAAACAAGAGGGAGGCGAGGGCGGGGCAACCCCAGCTGAATCCTCTAACCTCTGTGATCCTGGACTCTGAGGCAACAGCAGAAAATGAGGAGGAAGGAGGGCACCGAGGCCAGCCTAGCCTCCAGGAGTGTTTGAGGATAATTTTACTGGCCAGCTTTGATATTCCAGAGGACAAAGGGTAAAACTCAGGAGTGGCTACAGATCTTTTACAAGAAAACCTTAGAACCCCCCAAAGCTTAAGAGTTTTCAACTCATGTAGCTTTTGTCAAGTATTCCTTGGGTAAATAGAGTAGTTCTGGTGGAAAAGAACACAGAAGAAGAAGCTTAGAACTAACCATCACCAAGGTCAAAAATGCCCATGCGCTTAAGATCATGGCTACTCAACTGTAATAGAACCCCATTGATTATAGGAAATGGTTGAACTCAACTCAATTATTAAACTCAATGCTGTGGGTGAAACACACACATCCTGAAGGAATCTAAAGATCCTTTGAGCTCTCAGTGGTGCAGAACAGTTCCAAAGTAATTCAGGGGTTAGAAAATGGAAATTTTGTCCTGACTCAAGTTCATCTGGGCCTTTGGACAAATCACTTCCTCTCTAGGTGTTGCTGTCCTCAATGGTAAACTGGGAAGAACACAGGAGGCAAAGTAGACAGAGACTGAGCATCAGAGTAAAATGGGGAATAATGTTTGGGTTAATGTGGTTCATGAGGACTGAAAGCAACGTGTGAACTGCCAGGGCAAGTCAGCACCTAGCTCTTAGTAACTGTTGGGAGATTATTTATTTCCCTTCTAAATTTATATCTAAATCCTACTTTCACTAACCTCTTATCTTCCTTCTAATTAATCCTTAACCTCTAACCCTTGGGGACATTTCCTCTTGGCCCATATAAGTCTCACCTTCCAATCTCATTAGCAAAAATCAAAAGGGTTGATAAAACACGGTTGTAGAACATGTAGGCAACAAATGTAATTTATTCAGGATTAGTAAAAAGCGTATCGTGGGCCATCTGAAGAGACATTTGATGATATCAGTAAAATTATAAACTGCATCTGACCTTTGACTCAATCTTTCCACTTCCCAAGTTGTATTCTGCAAAGACAGTCACTGACATTCAGGGATGGATGTCACAACAGACTTTGGAAAGCAAAAGAAGGCAGACAATCAGCTGCCATGGATAAGATAGGTCATTAATTCTATATGAAATATAGAAAATAGACTGACCTTTAAGTTCATCATGAGTAAAAAGATAAATTACAAAAGTGCAAAACATGTGTACAATATGACCAAATTGTTGAAGAGAGAAAAAGGAAAAAAATCTGTTATGTATGTTTATAGTTGTAAGGATAGGTACCTTATGTGCATATATTAGAGTCTTTTTTTTTAATTATAAAATCTAACTAAAAGTGAAAAAAATAAAATAGCACACACACAAGGACCCCATGTACTCAGTTCATCCAATCTCTGTAACAGTAAGTTCTACTTTATTCCCATCTCTTAGGGATTCTGTTTCCTTTATAAAGTTGTGAAACAGTATTCATTTATTGGGTCACATCTCATTTTATAAATGCCTATCTGTGTCAGGCATCTTTTTGCTCATCTACATGCTCCATTTACCTTAATCCCCCAAATCCCTGGAAGATAAAATAGCATTAGCTCTAATCTGATGAAGAAGGCTACCAAGTCTCTGGGAGTACCTAAATATACAGCCAGGCTTGATTGTGAGGTGGTAAAATATGAATCTTTGGAGAATGTCCACTAGCATCAGGGTGAACTTAGTTTTGTGATGGATCCTGTGGATGGACTCAAATGACACAGTTCAATGCCCTTCTGGAGACTCTTCCTGCACTGCACAGATGAAATGTTAAATTTCCTGCAGCTCAGGCCTGGACACAGCTCAGGCTGTGTCAGTCAGACACTCAAAGAAGTTGAGCACCAAAAGACATTCGCTTAGGGGCATTTATGTGTTTAGAGGTAGTGGTGGCTGAAGTCTAGCCTGGGCATCCTTTAGCATAACATATTTTTTGATAAGCTGCTAAGTAACTATTAAAGAGCTACAGTGGCAACATAAAGTAGCTTCCTCATTCCTCAGCTTTCTGACTAAGGCAGAAATGGCCATTCTCATGAAGGTCCAGAATGGCTCTGAAGAACATTTCTGGAAGCTTCACCTTCATGATTAATTCTACAAGCTATTAGTCTAATGTCTTTCAAATTAGCCCAACTAGCAAATGCAGTTCTCTATAGTAGTTTTCCCTGACGATCCAAAACTGGGTAGGCTGGAACTTAAAAAGTAGCTATACATTTTACATAATCTTGCATAACAAAGAGATCTCAGTTATGTACCTCTGAGCCATGGGCCAAAGGCACAAATGAGCCAAAGGCTGATGAATGACTCACCCTGTCAACTCTGATGTCCTGTTAAATGACAAGAGTTTCCTTTGATCTTCTCATAAGTACTTGCACCACTCTCCTCTCTCAAATCTGTTTTCTATATAGTAGCTAGAATGATGTTTACAAAATGCAAATCTAGCTATAGGGTTATATGTCATACCTCTTCCTAAAATCCTTCTGTGCTTCCCTTTGCTCTTAAATAGTATTAGTTAAGGGGGAGGGTACAGCTCAGCAGTAAAGTGCTTGCCTAGCAGGCATGAGGCCCTGGGTTCAATCCCCAGGACAATAACAAAATTATTAGTTAACATTTAATACTATTCCATAATGTAGTTTCAAAAAGTAAATCAGAATAATAATATCATACTAAAAATGTACACTATGCCAGAAAGTACTCAATATGTTTTACTTAATTCATTAAACAAAGACCAATATCCTACTCTGACTACAGAGCCTGTAGGATATGGCCAGGCCTCTCTCTGCAGCCTCACCTCAAATTTGGATTCTTCGCATTCTCTGGATCCAGGCCTGCTGGTCTATCTTTAGTTCCCTGACTGTGTCATGCTTACTTACCCCTCTACCTCTATCCTCTTCCCCTTCCTTTATGTCTCACCCCTAGTGGGAAGTCTCCCAAAACTCCCCAGAGGAGTCAGCTTCATTCACTAGATCACGTCATGAAGTCACAGGTGCACACACCCTGATCAGTACAGCACTGCTCCTGTCTTCACCCCACCTGCCTGCACACTCCACTGAACCTGGGACACATCTGCTGTGCTCAACATTTTATCCCCAGCTCCCAGTACGTGACTCGACACACAATGGGATCTCAGAAAAGACTGACGAATGAAGGATCTAAAAATCAGAATCCTGGAATTACTAACATCACATATAGTTGAGCCATATGTGGTTCGAAATCTCTAGAACTACCAAATTAAGGCTAATTTTAGCAAAAATGGTTCAATTTTATCTTAACTGAAGTGCCACTCTGCCAGAGCTA